ATCCTCCAAGGCGGACTTCACAACCACGCAGAGTTGCCAAGCAGAAGCTGATAGGCAAGTTTGGTACCTGTGAGGACAGCCTGAATGGGGATTTTGGGTTCATGTCACACTACAGGTGACCCCATCACACTTTTCACTCACACCATACACTCTTGTGCACAAATACATGCCCTCCCTCCCTTGCTCGCTTGCTCCCTCTCCCGCACCCCTGCGCTCACGTGTGCACAAGCACATATAAATCTATGGGGTGAATTTGTATCTGCAGATTCATCCCATTTTGTTCAAAAGGCACACAAATGTATAGACAGTCAATGTGACTTTTTATAAATTCCTACTTTAGAAATAAAACCAGTCTGACTCCAAACTAAAACAAACAGATTATAAATAAGACCTCATACCTAACATGCATTGTCTGACCTAAAATGTCATCTCTTCTTTAGTTCTCTCAGGGCAGCGACTTGAAAGAAATTCAGGGATTTACATATACATTTTCATCAAATAATTTCTTCTAATTGATTAAAAATTTAGCAGCATCTTAGGTTTGTTTAATACATCCTCATCAGTGACCCTTTGATCTTTTATTTATAAATTCTGTGCTCTGGGTGCTTCTTTCTCAATTCACCTGACAAAGGGGCCATGCTCCAAAAGGTTGTGTGTTCAAATAAACCTGTTGGACTATAACCTGGTGTCGTGTGACTTCTGACCTTGTCCACCCCAGTCCAACACTGGCACCTCCACAGCATAATTAAATGACGAAAGCAATGGTCTTAAAGTGTGTGAAAATGGCAATAGGACAAGTAAAACCAAAAAATAACAATGGGTCTATGGAAGTGTAAATGGCAACAGCAGAGCCATTATTACTAGACCAACTGTAGGAAGAAGTGGGAGCAGTGGTGAAGGTATGACATTTTTGCAATCTGAAGTAGTATCAAATTAGTGGTAGGGTGAATAGCCAAGGTCTCTTCCCCAGGGTAGGGGAGTCCAAAACTAGAGGTCAAAGGTTTAAAGTGAGCGGGGAAAGATTTAAAAGGAATGTAAGGGGCAATTTTTTTTCATGCAGAGGGTGGTGTGTGTATGGAATGAGCTGCCAGAGGAAGTGGTGAAGGCTGGTACAATTACAACATTTAGAGGGCATCTGGATGGGTACATTAATCAGAAGGGTTCAGAGGAATATGGGCCAAATGCTAGCAAATGGGACTCGATCAGTTGAGGATATCTGGTCGGCATGGATAAGTTGGACCGATGGGTCCGTTTACATGCTGTATGAATCTAGTGCCTAATCAAAAGTTGAATGCTTGTTTCTGAATCCTTTGAGATTTGTTAGAACAGTTTAACATGCTGAGCACAGTGGGAGCAACATAATTACCATTTCAGTCCTCATTTCAGATGTAAATGCTTTGGGGTTCAGAGGTGGTTTACCAGATTGATACCTGGAATGGGTGTGTTGTCTTATGAGGAGAGATTGGACAGGTAGGGCTGGTTTCTGCTGGAGTTCAAGTGAGGGATGACTTCATTGAAGTGTATAAGATTCTGAATGTTCTTGAGCAGGTAGACATGGAAATGGTGTTCCCTCTGTTGCTGAGTCCAGTAATAAGGGGCGTTGTTTTTCAATATGAGGTTAGCCCTTTTCGGAGAGAGATGCAGAGACATTTGTTTGTTGTGCGTTGAGAGACTTTGGAACTGTCCATGTCAGGAGGTGGTGGAGGCACCTTGCAGTCATTGAGTATTTTTAAGGCAAAGGTAAATAGATTCTTGTTAGGCAAGGGAATCAAAATTTAGTGGTACATGGGAGAGTGGAATTTGAGCCAGTAATAAATTTATTGAAAGATGGAGCACTCTTGAGGGGCTGAATGGCCTACTTTTGCTCCTATTCTGTATGTTCAGTAGGATAAAGGATGACTGCTGGCATCATTGGTCTTGAGGCCCTCAGGAGAGGAAGGAAATGAAATGGAGTAGGAAAAAAAAATCCAGTTGGTTATTACGGAAAAGAAATCACAGAGCCCTCTAATTAAAACTATTGCTTAAATCCGTAATCTATACATTATTTGTTATCCAGTTATGTCAACAGACAGTTGTATTTAGTTTCACTGAATGGAAAAAGGAAACTGGTTTGCTTATTTGCTGTGAGAATCTGATTGTCAAATGTTTCACATTAATGTGGTTTTTGTTTTCATCACATCTGGCTCAGTCTTTTGATAGCATAGAGTTGCTACATGATGTCTGCTTGGATAGCAGGATTACGTAGACAGCTGGTTGGAAATCCCCTAATATGGTAGTGGTTTTGATTCAGAGAACTGAACCACAGCCGGCAGGAAGCTGTGGAATGGGACAGGAAATGTGAAGGGGAAACTTTTCCAGGAAGTGACACCAGGCTTATGTGGTTTGTGTTTGGACGGATCTATGACTCATAGTTAAGTCTGTCTGAGAAACTTGTATCAAGCAGTGGTGTAACTGCAAAATATTCAAGTAAAAATATAAACACAAGATTTAGTACAATTGTTAAAGAAGTGATCAAGGTTTAGGTTATTGAACCCTTCTTTCTTTGGGGGTTTTTTGCTTGAAAAGAAGTGGTTTCTAAAAAACCAATCTACAGTGCAGTAATATCATGTTGGTTGCCTGTTTGTCTTGAGTTTCTATTCCTGATCACTGGCAGTCTGCTGGAAGGCTCTAACTTTGCATCGTACAAGCAAAAAATGTTGCTCTGTCTGCACAACTAACATGATCGCATTGTCTGTTGTCAGCAAATCGTGGGGTCCCTGTGTGGAAAATAGTGGTTTCTGTAAAGCAGGGTTGGGTCCTTGGCATCTGTGGGCCTCTTAATCCATCAGGAGTTCTTATCTCTGGGAACAGGGGAGGGTGGTGAAGCACTGCTACATCAGTAGAAATATTCCCCAAGAAGGAATCTGCACCTCCCAAGGAAGCAAATAAAAATTGGGGCAAATAGACAGACAAATGCCTAGTATCACTGTTAGTAATTTCAAGCCGGCTGTTCCAAGGGTCACAACATAAAGTTAATTTTTTACCTAGTTGTGCATACTCATTTTGTTAGGCTTAGAATAAAAAAAAACCATCAATCAAATTTCTTTAGACAACAGGCTGACTGATTTATTGTGAAAGCAAGACTTATTTGGCTAAGATGTGAAGCTAATTTGTACACAGTTTAGAATAGCAAGTATAATTCTGTACTTTTTAAATAACACAACACACACACAGGCACTAGGTAAAGGAAATAATAAAACTGATTTCTCTGCAGTGATTCTGTTTGGTGGGGGTGGGATAATTGTTCTTGAAGGCAAAAAGGACAAGATGTGGACTGTTCAGCTGAGCCACCTTTTTAATGTTACAATGGAGATGGAAGGAGTGCTCAGTGTCCCTCTAGTCCCGATATGCCACAGTTCACAACATAAATATTTTACCCAGTTAATTTTAAGGTTCTTTTTAAACATATCAAAAAGAGCAAGGCCCAAGTGAGCATAGGTTTCACAGAGAATGATGCTCAGAAAATAATGATGGTGTGCCAGGACACAGTAGAGGAGTTGAATAAATACTTTGGATCAGTCTTCACTGTAGAAGACACTAGTATTCCGCAATTACTGAATCAAGGAGTTAAACGCATTAATACAAAAATAAAACAACTGGAGATCTGAAACATGCAAAATCAGAAATTGCTGGAGGATTTCAGCAAGTCCAGCAGCATCTGCGAAGAGATGAGAGTTGATGTCACGGGCCCTCCAGAACGCCCTCCAAAACAGTGTTCAAACAAAAAGTAGCCCTCCAGCAATCTCAAAACCACAGCAGGTGGCCTCCAGCAATTAACTGAAATGCTGCAACTTCCAAGAAATGCCTTGTTTAAAAATAAATATTCCAGAGTCCAAAGTTCCCTGTTACTAACTGTTTGTTTATTTCACAAGACAATCCAGATCTCCACAGACATGAAATTTAATCTTTTTTTTTCATGATCCTGCGAAACTCCAGTCCTCAAAAATATTACAGAGGCCTTCACAACATTCTAGTCTGTGTTTGTATATGCAGTGTCAACGCAATCCAGTCCCTGTTTATATTCCAACATAGGAGAGTCAAGGTTCTAGTCTCTATTTGTACTCACTCTAGAAATGCTATAGTGAGGGTCATGTCATTGCTTGCTGTAAACACTGCATGGAGGATCAAGTTTGTGTTTGTACCTCTCGTGTAAATGCTATAGTGAGGCTCCGGTCTGTGTTTGTACTTGCATTGTGATGCTATAGGTGTTGATTGGGATCACATGAATGGGTAGGGTCAGAGGTGAGTGAAGGGGGAGAGGATGGACTGTCGGTATGAGAGGGACTTTATGAAATTTCTTTCACCATCTCTGGATAGTCACTCCAATCACTTTGGCTAAGATAGTAAATGTGGTGCCCAATTTATGCATAGCAAGGTTCCACAAACAAATGTGCTAGTGACCATATCATTATAGATGTTGGTTAAGAGATGACTTGTGTACAGGACATGAGGGAGGACTCTCCTGCTTTTCTTTAAGATAGTGCTGAAACATCTTTTGCATCCACCAGCCCATGGCTAAGGCATCACAAATAAAGTCAATACAGTGTGGAGCTGGAGGAACACAGCAGGTCAGGCAGCATCAGAGGAACAGGAGAGTCGACGTTTCGGGTTTACATCCTTCATCCACGTTGTATTGACTCTGACTCCAGCATCTGCAGTTCTTGCTATCTCCGCATCACAAATGAACATATTTCCTCCTTCCAATTCATGTAATCTCCAAAGAAGTTTCCTTAAAGTATGAGGGCCAACACAGAAAGCATACACTGAAATATTGCCCTCTGCTGATTGAAACCAGTTCAGGAGATGTTATGAACCAAGTTTAAAGACTATATTTAATGTATGATGTGATGTTTTGGCCCAGTCAAAAACTGCTCCGGCTCCCTTTTAATTTGAAGGCATGTAAAATGATATTTAAGGAAGTTAATGAGATTTTAAAAATAGTGTCTTATTTCCTTCCTCAGATCGGCGTCAGTGGTGTGGAATTGTCATTCTACTTATCGTCTTGATCGTGGTGCTGATATTATTGTTCACCATCTAAACCTGAACTGTTTGCATTGGAGAGGGAGAATGGAAGAGCAGGCGCAAAAGGCTAAACAAGAGAACAGCTCTGTATTTTGTGGTGCGTGCTTTCCACGGGTCAGCCTGGTTGTGAAGTGTTTCTCCAGCAAATGTGTCGTCCTAAATCTGACTATCGAATTTACCAAGTGCAGAATTATTGTTTTATTCCAGTCATTCATTTACAAAAATGCCGAAATGATAAAACAGGTCTCTTCCTCACCTCCCCCTCTATCTCTCACACAACTCTGGGGGTAGGAGATCCATTGTGAGGTACTTCTCCAAATTACTGTTTTACCTTTTTTTGAAAAACTATGTAATATTTGTATGTTTTGGATCAACATCTCTTAGTGCCTTAAGCAAATGAAATAGGCAGTTTGCCATTTTAGCTCACTGGTAGCCTGTGAAGGCTGTGTGTTTGACCCCTGTGATACAGCCCGTTCATGTTTGACTAGATGTAATCAGCAGTGAGTGTTTGCCTGTTTCTGACTGCATGGCTGATAAAGCTAGCAACCATTTCACACTTCTGCCCTTGACTGACCCATTGTTCTCATGAGGATTTGGTGGATTGGGTAATGAGCTAGCACTGGGGGGGAAAACTGCACAAACCAACTCCAATCCCTGACCACAACTGACATGTAGGAATCCACCACACTCTTAGCCCAAACTCCTGTACATCTTGCAGGCCTGTCACATTTGGAGGGCAACTTTGTTTGGCGACATTAACACAAACTAATCTTGGTCAAATATGCGTGCACGCCCAGCACCACACCCTTTTGAGGTAGTCAGTGGTCTGCTACTGATGTCATTAATACAGAAGACCAGACTGATGTTCTGAGGACATCGGTTCAAATCCCATCACAGCATCATGTGTAATGTAACTTCAGTTAATAAATCTGCAATTGAAAACTAGTCTAAGTAGTAATAACCATGAGAACCATTGTTGACTTTTCTAAAACAAATCAGAGAACCAAATGCCCTTTAGGGAAAGAATATATCTGCCATCGTTACTTGGTCTGGCCTACATGTGACTCCAGACCACAGTAATTTGGTTTATTCTTAACAACTCTCTGAAATGCCAGAGCACCAAATGCTGGCCTTGCCAGTGACACTGACATGAATGAAGAGATTAAAAACTACCCTTCCCCCAGTTAGATAACATCATTGCAACAATTAGCGCAACACATTTTTGGAAAAACATAGATATGAGGTGCAAGGGTCAAGTAACATTGTTTGCAAGGGTGGGAGTGCACCTAGAATAATAACTTGGGCAGAGTTTTAGACTGCACATGCCAACTGCTCACCAGTCTCCATCAATGTTTATTATCTTTGTTCTCCCATTGCCCCCAAACTTCCTCTAGACTGCAAGTCCAATTTGGTGTTTGCCTTTAAAATCAGCTTCTCTCCAGGCCTTCAGATTAAAAATGGTATTGCAGAACATTTTTGAGTGAACCTTTACAATGTGTACACAACTTCACACTACAGTTGGCATACTTAAAATGTCCTTGTGATTAGATTGTAGTGAAGTTTGTGCCTATGTCGCCTGCGTTTTGTACCTGTATTTTGCACTGACTGTAATGAGACACTACTTTCTGCTATCTTTTGTTCATCTCTGTGGAGAAATAACAGCTAAATCAATTAGACTGCCAGTGCACGCCACTCAAAAAACCCTTGCGTTCCTTAATTGGGGCCAATTTGTGCCTGTAGACCTTCCACTTGCCCATTCTGTCACTTGCAGTTTGCATTGAAATTCCTCACTGCCAGCCTTGCTCCGACAACATGAATCCTGCAGGGTATGAATATTCCCAGGTTCAGTCCCTGCTCAGTGCTTATCTCTGTGTAGCAGTAGAGGGGGTGTGGTGCTTTGAGGTTAGCTTCTGCGCCCCTTGATTTTGGAGGAAGGGACAGGATGTAAACCAGATCTCCAATTCCTAGTCACCAGTAAGTGACCTACTGCACTGCGTCTGTGTGGACTTTGGATGCGAGCAGAACAAGGCTTGAATTGAAACACTGCTCATATGAATGCTTTCTGACACTGGGTGAATAGACATGGGTTAGGTGTCTGGAACTGTACTTAGTATCTCCAGGCAAGAATGGTGGTGATGGAAGGTTTTTGGGGAGAGCTGGGATCATATTGGAACATGAATTTGTTAGTGATAATTAGCTTCAAAGCAATTAAGGGATGATCTAATTGAGGCGCTTGAAATGATTAAAGTCATCGGAAGGATGGTTCAAGAAAACCTTGCTCAGCCAACATTTAAAATTGAAACTGGTTCATTGGACAAATCTACTTTTTTAAAATAGTATCTTTGTTTTTGTAATGCAATGTTAGCTGACGTATTTGGGTGTAATTTAAAATAAAACTGTTGTCAGGGCTGTTACAATCACTGTAAAAGTTAAATTATCCAGCAGTATTTTAATGTGGTCCAAAACCCATGTTGAATGTGATGTTCCCATCGTTCAGACAGACCTGTTAGAGGGCCCTTGAGAAGAAGCTGCCTGCTGATAGCTTCACGCAACTAAGCATTGAAGAGTGACACGTGCTGCCCTGGACTTGCCAGGGGAGCAGTAAAGGAACAGTGACCAATTTCTTTCACCACTGCAGGCCACATTGCAGATGTACCTCCCGAGTTATTTAGTAGGGTGGTGGAGGGTCATGGCCTCCGACACTGTGTAGATGCCGAGAGTGGCACTGTACGTAAGCAGTCTCTCCTGAGTCTGAAAATCATGGGTTTGTAACTGTAATTGTGCATGTAATTTAGATTCACGTTCCCAGTGCTGTGCTGCACTGTCAGGCTGCTGTCTTCTGGCTGAGGTCCTCTCTGGTGTCTCCAGAGAACATAAAACATCTCACCATCGTTTTGAAGAGCAGGGCTGACCTGGACAATGTTTATCCCTCATCCAACGTCAGTTTTTTTTTTAAAAAGAATGTTGTAGGCTTGTTATCGCATTGTTGGCTGTGGGATCTTGCTGTGCACAATTTGGCTGCCATGTTTCCTTGATTGCAAAAATGACTACATTTCAGAAGTACTTAATTGGCTGTTAAAATGCTTGGGGATGTTCTCGAGGGGAATTGCAAGTTATCTTTGTGTCTTCTGATTTCTCTTTTGCAATCTGGTGTGTAAATAAATGATGTATAGTTAACCCCTCTCCTTTGACTCCTGAATGTTTACTTGGAAAGAAGGCTCTAAGGATTGAGGGACTGCGGTGGTAACCTGCTGTGATACGCTACTATAGTGTACCCCGGGTTCAAGTTTCCAAACAATGAAAGCCACCGTTTTGCAGGCTGTCAAAACCTCTGAGAAATACACCTCACGCAATGCATCCGCAAGTGTGATTTCAGCAATGTGGGAATTAGGAAAAGGTCTCAGTCATGGAGTACTCTACAGCAATAGTTAATTTTGACAGGAGCATTACGCTGTTTCTAATCCTGATTATTATATATGGCAGAACCCCGCATTCACATTACTCCACGGGACAGGTCCCTCATTCGCAATGACTTCATGTGATCGGGTCCCTCTTTGTGTACACTTATTGCATAAAAGGGGCAAGACCTGCACCAAGAACAGGGACAGTGTGGGGTCAAGGGCTTGCACCAGGAACAGGACTGAGGTGAGGTTTCTGCACGAGGAGTGGGGTGTGGGTGAAGGAAGGTGAACCTTCCTCTTCCACCATACGCTCAGCCTGCTGCCTAGCCACCTGCACCCAGGGCGAGGAGGCTCAGCTGGGTAATGCTGCCTCCTTGGATGAGGAGCTGGGCCCAGCACCCACATCCAGGAAGGTCAAAGCAGCGACTGGAGAGAGCTTGGCCAACGAAGGCTTGATGTTTGAAGGGTTAGTTCTGCACCCCCACAGCATCCTAGTCCTGTCTACCTGCCCCCACCTTCCTGAATCCTAGAACATCCCTGGTAGTACCATCTTGGAGACTGCTCCCTGCTGTCACTCTGACACAATTCAATGGGCCGCTTGACCCCTCCCTGCTCTTGGTACCACTTACGGGTGGTGTTCACAACTGTTGGGGAAATAGACGCTCAACAGCTGCCTGAGGTCCAAGTATTGAGCCTCGCAATGTCTAACCAATCTGAAAATAGATTCAGGGATTTATTTGTACTTTCTGATTTCGGTCTATTAACCAATTCTTGATTCACCATATTATCCCCAGGCCTGGGATCCCTAATCTTGTGAAACAACATCTTATGCACCACTTTATCAAATGCCATCTGAAAATACAAATCCATAACATTGACTTCCTCTCCCTTCTATGCTAGTTAAAACTTCCAAAAGAAATCTAAAATAAAACTATCTTATAACAATGAAAAATTGCAATATCTCGGAAATTAGTGCTTTTCTTGTTTTGTGGCGTTAAGTTTGAGAGTTAATAATTGAAGTTACTGTTGAATTCTTCTAATTCTACTTCTGCAGGGTCTGAACGTACTGATGATCAACTCAAGTACAGCAGGTATTGTCACTATGAATATCTGATGTCCTTCGGAGAGGGAAATCTGCCATCCTCACCTAAATGTTACATCAATGTGGTCCATCAAGCCACTTGGTTGAAGAATAACTAGGTATGCCCAAAAAATGCAGGCCTTGCCAACGGTGACGCATCCCATAGAAGCTAACATCACTTCATAAAGGAGTGATGCACGACTGTATTCTGTAGGACCCAAAGCGCATTGAGAAAAGTCTCAACAGCAGCACTTAAGGATTAGAAGTGGAGACGGAGTGGATACAAGGAACCCAAAAGCAGGAACTGCACCAGCGCTCGTGATTTCTCTCCCTGTGCAGTGCCGGTATTGGACCGGGGTGGACAAAGTCAGAAGTCACAAGACACCACGTTATAGCCTAATGGGTATTATTTGAAATCACAAGCTTTTGGAGCGCTGCTCCTTCATCAGGCAAAGTCTGACAAAGGAATAGCGCTCCAAAAGCTTGTGTTTTCAAATAAACCTGTTGAACTATAACCTGGTGTCTTGTGACTTCTGACGTGGCCATGGGATGGAGTGGGTTTGAGGTGTAATTCTTTATCCTAGAAGACTGGAAGCTCAATCACTCAGCAGGTTCAAGTTGAAAATTGGAAGATGTCTAGATGTTATTTCATCAAGGATTACAGGGGAATTGTGCAAAAGAATGGCACTGAGATAGAAGATCAACTATGAACTTATTGAGGGTGAAGCATGTTCAATGGGCCAAATGGCCTACTCCTATTTCGTACATTCTTATGAATCTCAGAACGGGGAGTAAACAGATGAAGGTCATTCAGCCCATCCTATCTGTGCTAGCCTCTGAAGAAGCAATGCGCTTGTGCTCCAGCCTTATGTTTGAGAGGAAGAGGCCAGAGACCATGCCCCCCAGGTTCCTGGGTGCAGAAGGTGGGCAAGAAGAGTAACGCCACAGTAGGTCAGAAGCTGTCCCGGAGAGCTACCGAAAAGGCTACGGGAAGAGCTAACCACCGCAGTTAATAGCAGCGCTATAAAGCCAAGGAGCCCCAGAAGAAGCTTTAAAGATCTCACAATAGTTGTCAAGGTCAGTGATTCATGTTTAAACTTCATAAACTCACAAACAATCCACTAGTCCCATGTGCTGCCAAATTCACCACATTGAATTCACTCGCTTACCGTCAGTCTGCATCGAGCAGGATTCATATTGGCTGTCCTTTACACACTTTCAGCCAAACATTTAAACCTCTGACCTGTTTGTTAATACAGACTAGTGTTGACAGAGGTGACAGCTGCACAGACTTGGTGCGAGTTAGAAATTGGGCAGCAGGATAGAAGCTGGTGACTTCAGGAGAGCTGGGCAAAGGAGGCAAGGAGCACTTAACCCCTCTCCCAGCAATACCCCATCACTGGGAAGCTCACACATTACTCACGGGAGGGAAAATATTAAGCTTGAAGAGATTTACCAGGATGTTGCCAGGTATGGAAGGTTTGAGTTATAAAGAAAGGCTGCGACTTCTATCTTTAGAGCATAGGAGGTTGAGAGACGACCTTATAGAGGTTTATAAAATCATGGCTATAGTTAAGGTGAATGGTAGGTGACTTTTCCCTAGGGAATTTCAAGACTAGGGGGCGTATTTTTAAGGTGAGAGGAGAGAGATTTAAAAAAGACATGAGGGGCACATTTTTTTACGTAGAGGGTGGTTTGTGTGTGGAGAAACTTCTTGAGGAAATGGTGGATGTGGGCACAGTTATAACGTTTAAAATACACTTAAGTGTGTACGTGAATAGGAAGGGTTTGGAGGAATATGGGCCAGGAGCTGGCAGGTGGGACTAGTTTAGTTTGGGACTATGTTCAGCATGGACTGGTTGGACTATTTCCATGTTGTGTAACTCTATGACTCTGTGAGAGCTGACACTGCTTCCATGTCACCATGAGAGTCTGGGGGGGTTCAGATTTTGATGCACACAAGTTAACCTAAATGCCAAACAATTTGAGGCAGCCAAGTGTGGTCAAAGTCCATGTGAAAGGCTACATGGCCTCTGTTGTCTTCTGCTAACCCAATACTCCTCTTTCTTTGGCCAAGCTATGGTCATCCATCTCTCTTAATCTCCTCGTCTTTGGTTCAGCGTAATTTTTCTCTGATTAACCTCTATCAAGGGCTTTGGGACATATCTTACTGTTTCACAGGAACTGTGCTAGTAGCTTGTATATATAGTTTGTAGAGTTCATGTACACATTACATAGAACATATAGAACATAGAACATTACAGCGCAGTACAGGCCCTTCGGCCCTCGATGTTGCGCCGACCTGTGAAACCAATCTGAAGCCCATCTAACCTAAACTATTCCATTATCATCCATATGTTTATCCAATGACCATTTAAATGCCCTTAAAATTGGCGAGTCTACTATTTTTGCAGGCAGGGCATTCCACGCCCTTACTACTCTCTGAGTAAAGAACCTACCTCTGACATCTGTCTTATATCTATCACCCCTCAATTTAAAGCTATGTCCCCTCGTGCTAGCCATCACCATCCAAGGAAAAAGGCTCCCACTGTCCACCCTATCTAATCCGCTGATCATCTTGTATGTCTCTATCAAGTCACCTCTTAACCTTCTTCTCTCTAACGAAAAGAGCCTCAAAACCCTCAGCCTTTCCTCATAAGACCTTCCCTCCATACCAGGCAACATCCTGGTAAATCTCCTCTGCACCCTTTCCAATGCTTCCACATTCTTCCTATAATGCGGTGACCAGAACTGTACGCAATACTCCAAGTGCGGCCGCACCAGAGTTTTGTACAGCTGCAACATGACCTCATGGCTCCGAAACTCGATCCCTCTACCAATAAAACCTAACATACTGTATGCCTTCTTAACAACGCTATCAACCTGGGTGGCAACTTTCAGTGATCTATGCACATGGACACCGAGATCTTTCTGCTCATCCACACTACCAAGAATCTTACCATTAGCCCAGTACTCTGTATTCCTGTTACTCCTTCCAAAGTGAATCACCTCACACTCTTCCGCATTAAACTCCATTTGCCACCTCTCAGCCCAGCTCTGCAGCTTATCTATGTCCCTCTGTAACCTGCAACATCCTTCCGCACTATCCACAACTCCACCGACTTTGGTGTCATCCGCAAATTTACTAACCCATCCTTCTACGCCCTCATCCAGGTCATTTATAAAAATGACAAACAGCAGTGGCCCCAAAACAGATCCTTGAGGTACACCACTAGTAACTGAACTCCAGGATGAACATTTCCCATCAACCACCACCCTCTGTCTTCTTACAGCTAGCCAATTTCTGATCCAAACCGCTAAATCACCCTCAATCCCGTGCCTCCGTATTTTCTGCAATAGCCTACCATGGGGAACCTTATCAAACGCTTTACTGAAATCCAAATACACCACATCAACCGCTTTACCCTCATCCACCTGTTTGGTCACCCTCTCGAAGAACTCAATAAGGTTTGTGAGGCACGACCTACCCTTCACAAAACCGTGTTGACTATCCCTAATCAAATTATTCCTTTCTAGATGATTATAAATCCTATCTCTTATAATCCTTTCCAACACTTTACCCACAAACGAAGTAAGGCTCACTGGTCTATAATTACCAGGGTTGTCTCTACTCCCCTTCTTGAACAACGGGACAACATTTGCTAGTCTCCAGTCTTCTGGCACTATTCCTGAAGACAATG